GGCGCTCTACCGTAAACATGAACATACGGACTCCGATGACAACTACAGCACTGCCCCCGATGTGCCCTGCTCCCGCTCCCTCGGGTGCAACCGCTCATGTGGCTGTCTTGCTTTCTCCGTCCTTGCCAGCTGAAAGCACTGTGTCCTTCCTCTCCTGCCTCAGGGCTCTGCTGGCCATCTGTCTGCCTGTCCTTCCATCATCTACAGGAAATGGGGCCTCTGCCAGGGCCGTCTGCTGGTTTGCTACATCGGCGGCATCATGCTTATTCCACTTGGGGAAAATGAGGCAACACCTCGGAGAATTTGGTAACATGCTGGGGGGAGCAAGACACGGCCCCACAGCAGACCCCAGCCTGCAACCTCCTTGCATTTGCTGTTTGCTGGTGGCCTGGGGCACGTCAAGAATTCCAGGCTGAAGGATGAGTTGCTGCAGGTCGGACCTCCGGCTGGGAAGACAACAAAACTCCCATTGGTCTCTGTGGGTTCTGATGGGAACAGAAACCACATCTGGCCATGCTGCTCTGCCCACTTACCCAACAATCCATCAGGCAGCCAGTTTTGAGAAGCTCTGCAGCATATCCACGCTACCGTCATGCAAGGGTTCTGCCACGTGGGCAGCACAACTCAAGACCCAAGGTGCTGGAGGGTGCACGTAGACAGGACTGCTGGGTGACATCTGGGGGAGGCTAACAGGACAGCCACATGCATACCCTTGGGTTTGGGGATAAAGCCATGTCAATAAAACCATATCTGCTAGTAAATGCTCTCTTTTGTGAGAAGCTCCTTGGGATAGCGAGCTGTTGCTGGGCTCTGGCAGGGTCTGAATGCTTGACCACAGGTCCACGAGCCACAACACAAAGCAACTGTCCACCAAGGCTTGAACGTCACCTGCCCCACAAAGCCACACAAGTTGGACGTGGGCACCAATGTTACCAAGGGGGACTGGTCTATACAAGACTGGGCTGGACCAGGTCTTGGTGGAAGAAGTGAGCACATGAGCAGGAGTCTCGACCCCCTACTGCTGCCACATGACACCTGTCCCATAAACCACACCCGCGACCTTACAACAAGTTGTGTTCCCCACTCCTGTGATTTTTAACATTACTAATTAAGAGGTCTGGAAATTACAGAGACATTGTGCTGAAACTAAGGTACCTATCTCCTGAAATCTCTGTATGGTGCTGATTCTAATGTGCCCTGGGGTGGAGAACCACCTCCCCCAACAATTTTCCAGCTCACGAGTAAGAAAATATTGTCAGTTAGCTATCTATACATGTCTCTGTATCCATCAATCATCTAATCTTCTATCTATAATCCACCTGCCCACCCATCCATCAGTCTAATCCATGCTTTTTGGCTCATGTCTGATCCAGCCTTAAGGCTCCTTTTCACGGGATGGAAAGGCTTCTGGAGCCACCTGTCTGTTCACAGTGATGGAACTTCTGGGCACGTTCTCAGAACAGAGCATAGACGCAGGGAACGATAACACCTGATCCCAGAAAAGAGGATGTGGGGAGGCGGTGGGAGGAGGCAGAGGGCGACTGCACCGGGACAGGAAGAGGGGCGTCTCCGCCAGGAGCTGAGCTGAGTGCAGAGGCAGGATCGGGTGGCTCTCCTCCAACGTGAACGCAGCGCGTTGCTCCCTATCAGACCACACTCACCCTTGAGGGCAAGGCCTGGCTTATGCACGATTCGATGCCCTTAGTTCCAGCATAAGAGACGTTCCATAAATATTTGTCAAGTGAGAATGGCCTGGGGAAAGCGAGCCCCCTTCTTTTTTTTATTATGTTAATCACCATACATTACATCATTAGTTCTTGGTGCAGTGTTCCATGATTCATTGTTTGTGCATAACACCCAGTGCTCCACGCAGAACGTGCCCTCCTCAATACCCATCACCAGGCTAACCCATCCCCCACCCCCTCCCCTCTAGAACCCTCAGTTTGTTTTTCAGAGTCCATCATCTCTCCTGGTTCGTCTCCCCCTCTGACTTATTCCCCTTCATTCTTCCCCTCCTGCTATCTTCTTCTTCTTTTTTCTTAAAATATGTTGCGTTATTTGTTTCAGAATATGTTGCGTTATTTGTTTCAGAAGTACAGATCTGTGATTCAGCAGTCTTGCACAATTCACAGCGCTCACCGTAGCACATACCCTCCCCAATGTCTATCACCCAGCCACCCCATCCCTCCCAACACCCACCACTCCAGCAACCCTCAGTTTGTTTCCTGAGATTAAGAATTCCTCATATCAGTGAGGTCATATGATACATGTCTTTCTCTGATTGACTTATTTCGCTCAGCATAACACCCTCCAGTTCCATCCACGTCGTTGCAAATGGCAAGATCTCATTCCTTTTGATGGCTGCATAATATTCCATCGTGTATATATACCACCTCTTCTTTATCCATTCCTCTGTCGATGGACATCTTGAGCAAGCCCCCCTTCTAACAGATGGAGTGAACCGTGGAGAGGGACCGGGTGAGTGGTGGTGCTCCTGTGGGTGGGCACAGCCTGGGACACACAGCTGCTCTGAGCTCCACACCATCTTCTGTTCTGTGTTTAACACACGTGACTGATTTTATTTCTCCCCTGAGGCCTTACTGAGGCTGGATGGATATGGAAACATGTGAAAAAGGACTGATTTTGACTCAACTAGGAGGCTCATGAATTTTTACTGATCAGGGCCGTTCTCACCAATGTGTTCATAGTACCTAAGAACTCAGTCTGCGGGCCGCCTGGGTGGCTCAGTCGTTAAGCGACTCCCTTCGGCTCAGGTCATGGTCCCAGGGTCCTGGGATCGAGCCCCGCATCAGGCTCCCTGCTCGGCGAGAAGTCTGCTTCTCCCTCTCCCACTGCCTGCCGCTCTGCCTACTTGTTCTCTCTTTCTATCTCTCTGCCAAATAAATAAATAAAATCTAAAAAAAAAAAAAAGAACTCAGTCTGCTACATCAGACTAGAAGTAACTTTCTACCATGATGCTCTCATATCTGAAAGGTCTTTTTAAAAGTTCTGACCATACTGCAGGGAAAATGAAATCCATCAGGTGGGCCATTCTGAGGTCCTGTCAGCCCAGCCCACTCAGCCTAGCCCACCCGTGAGCCCCACCTGCAGACCTGCCCCGGGCCCTGCTCCTCCCCGTGCATGTCAGACTCAGTGACTTTCCTTTGTCTCGGGTGACGTGTCTTAGAATTTGCCCAAGACACAAACTTGCCCACGGACTGTCTGCTCCCTGTTGCGGCTACTCTAACAGCAGATACCAATGTGGAGAAAAACCCGAGTGTATTAAACAGAGGGAAGCTGTAGGCTTATCCTGACATATGTATTACATGGAAATAAGCAGATTTCTGTCCCTGTCATGTAGCAAAACTATTCTGAAGCTTGGGACGGTATGTGCATGAGGAAGATTCATTTTGTGGATCCTTTGTGTTCAAGCAGAGCTGACATTCTTCCTTTTAGAATTAACTGAAGCTAAGATTTACTCTGAAAAATGAGGGTGTGAGGCTATGTGATTTATGAAGCCTTCACAAACTTAATATTTTTATGAACTTTATGAATCTGAAAAATGGAATCTGTCTCAGTAGTAGTGCTAAAACCACATCTGTTCTGTCACATAGGAATCTAGACAGATCATTTAATAATTTGATTTAAAGGTATATTTGTACCAAATACTGGAATAGCTCTGTTTACAAGGTTTGCCCATCATTCACTCAAGGATGAGCCTTTGGGTGAACACTGTGTGCTTTCTCTGGGCTGGGGCAGGGTGCACGGGGCCCTCTGAGCCATGTCTTCCTTCACCCTAAGAAAGCAAACCTGCAGAGAAAACACAGACGTGCAGCTTAGAACATGGACAGTTGGAAACACTCCATGCACGTGCACATACACCCCAAACTGTGCTTCCCTCGAGAGCCAGTACGTGTTTATGCCGACTGCAAGTGCCTTCTCCAGGCCCGGCGCAGAGAGGGGGCCGTGCATGGGCCCCACAGGAAGAGGTGGGGGTGCATACGGGTTCTTTGCGGGCGGGCAAACAAGACGGACTGTGAGCAGGTGTCCTGGAAGCTCAGTGTGCTTCATCTCGGGGGAATTTCCAGCAAAGCGGCTGTCTGCCCTCACCTGGAGCTAATGGTTGGTTTCCTGGAAAAACAAACCCTGAGGCAGGGATGTCCACACGCCGACCCTTCAGGGGATGTTCACAGACTGAAAGTGTGCCGGGAACCCTGTAATCCTCAGAATAAATGCCCTCTGAGAGGCGTCCGCACCAGTGCCTCAGGGACCAGTCGTTCCTCCCGGTCTCGCCCCCGCCCTCCCAGGTGCCTCTGCTGCACCGAGCTGCCCCCGTGGCTGGTGGCTGTCCCCGCCGCCCTCCCTCATCAACGTCACCCTCCTTCATCGACAGCACCCACGACCTTGACCCCACCGCTCCTTGGTGCTGTCCTGGCGTCAGCCACACCCTGTGCACGGACATCAGAGCTTCTCTGTGCCCAGCATCCCGCAGTGTGTTTATTCCGTCCTTCCTTGTATCCTGCGGTCTGACCTGACCCGGACAAAGTCCTTCTCCACAGAAGGAAGTCCAGGGCAAACGCATGCTTATGAGCCCTCGTCCCAGGTATCACCAGGTGTGTGCGTCACGAGACATCCTGCAAGGTGTCTGCCCACGTTGCACACAAGCGTGTGAGAGCAAACCAGCAAGGGGACACCTGACAGACACGTCTCACCACCGGCCAGGCAGCAGCCACACCCCCCAACGCTCAGTCCTCCTGGTTAGAATGGGAGCAGTGCCACCCCCTCTGCACAGCCTGTGAAGGCCCAGCGTAGTGTCCATGATGCACCTCCCCACACACGGGCATCTCACAGGGCCTCCAGCAAGGCACCTGCTTAGTCTTTTCTAGCGTTCTTTCCAGTTCACAAATAAACTCAGTGGAATATGATTTACAGAGAAAAGTAATCACAACAAAAGAATATACAACAAGCAGAACAAAAGTTACAAAATGAGGCACACTCACCACTTCTTCATGGGTTGCATCTTCTACATTAATGCCATTAACCTGAAAAGACAACAAATTGAAAAGTTTGAGGATGATATTGGTCACTAGAAGTTTAAAGTAAACAACAGAGCCAAGGGCTAACGTTTGCAATACTGACCTGCAGCACGGCATCTCCTACGAACAACATCCCTGTCTGGTCAGCTGCAGGGTTGCAAAAGGGATACAAGTGTTAAGAAACATTCAGGGACGTCATGCTTTGTTAGGGCGCTTGTCCAAGCTTAGTGTCAGCAGCAACTGGAATGGCTTGTGTGTGGGCACATGCGCATGCATGAGTGGGAACATGCATGTGTGCAAGTCTGTGGGTGAATGTGTGCATGGGAACATGCATGTATGAGTGTGCACATGTGTGGGGAATGTGTGTGCCCATGAGTGTATGCACACATGCATGTATGGGTGAGAATGTGTCGTACATGTGTGTGGGTGAGCGTGTGTGCACTCATATTGGTGAATATGTGTGAACATGTGCATGTGAGCACTGTGTCGGTGTGCATGGGGCGTTCAAATGTGAGTGCACTTGGGCGTGCATGGATGTGTGGACTGCATGGGTGCACACGCACGTGCATGGGCCTGTGTAGGTGTGGGAAAATGTCAGCAGCCAAGCAGCAGGCACCCCACCCATCAAGCTGAACAGCCAGCCAATCTTAAGCACATTAAGAGAGTTACTTCGCAGACATGTAAGTGTTGTTTAATATGGAACACGAATGTCACCTCCTCCTCATGAAGAATTTCACCACCTTATGTGTAAAGTCTGATTCCCGGTTTTCATTAAGTCGGCACAGACAATGGAACAGGAATCCCAAAAGCGGTTCAGCATTTCCGCACTTTCTCGGGAACAAATTTGCACAGACAGTTGTAATTCAGGAGACGGTGTGGAGAACACAGATGGGAACATGCCCTGGGGAGCCCAACAGAGGCTCACGGCACCGTCCCCACTGCCCCCCCAGTCCTCAGCGGCGGGGACAGCGGCTTCCAGTAGATGAGCACATCTGCCCAAAATGTAAAGCATCTCGACCTCCCGCCTTCCTATGAATTTGTTTCAGTTTTTTAGTCTTTGGTTAAATATTGGAGACCAAATACGCTATTCTTTTCACACTGCCATTCTCCATGTTCCCTGAATGCATTTAATGCTAACTGTTATATTATTTCTGGTCACTGACAAATATTAAACTTTTTTGAAAATACAGTACAGCCTTTATTTGACTAAATGTAATGGTACTGAATTTCGGTAATTAGCAACGTTCTCATTTACACGGCAACTTTGCCCAGAAAGCCCGCATGACCCGGCAGGGTGACCCGTCTCTCCGCTCTCCCCACACTTCTGTTTTTCCGAACCCTGTCCAGCTCTGAGCTGGGGGCAGGGAACAGGGCAATGCTGGTGGAAGGGGCTCCAAGTCTATCAGGTGAAAATCCACACAAGGCAACAGAAGGATTATTGACTACTGACTGTACAAATATTTTGTAAAATTATGCACAGTAGCACCCACATCCACATATAGCTCTGACATGCACGAGAGGTGCAGATGGTCTGGTGAACCCCAGCTGCAGGATTTAATCGTGCAGGACCTCGGAAAAGCCTAGAACACAGACACAGTTCTGCCCTGAAGCTGGACAGAAACAAGGGGGGTCCACACCAGGCTCAGTCGTGCGGAACGGGGTGAGGCCAGACGGGCAAGGGAGGGAGTGCTAAGGACAGGTGGTCATGGGTCACGGCGTGAGGCCCTAGACACCACGTCACAGGAAGGGACTTAATTTCACTGCTATCGTGCATCCTTCAGAGCTGGGCTACCCCTCTCAAACCCTCCCTTAGTGACCTACGCATACTTGTCATTCAGTCAATGTCAGTGAAGTTATCCCCTGAGTCTTTCTGGGAAAATTTCATCTATATGAACAGTGAACTCAGGCAGTGACAAGTTCAACACTATCTGAAAAAATATTTTTTTTTTGTTTCCAGACATTCAGATACAAAGTCTTAAGTTTGAATAATGAGGTTCTTATTTGCAAAATTACACAAATCTACTCAATAAATATTCACATATTTGTATATGGACATGTAATTGTTTCAAGTGTATATATGATCTATCTCTTTGACAAGTCTGTGCCTAGAACCCACTGACTCCCAGCCCCACCTGACCCGTCCGAACCCCCAGTTCTCAGCTCTCTGGCCGTAGGACCACCCACTCTCCAGCCATGGGACCAGCCCCTCCCTGGCGGTAGAACCAGCCCCTCTCTGGCTGTGGGGATCAGCCTTATGACTGAGCCATCCGCTTGACTCTTCCTGGGGCCATAGTCTCACGGTGTGATCAAACTGACTTCCTCTCTGTGCAACACGTGGCAGTGCTCGCACAGGAAGCCCTCTGCCAGCTCTGAGGGGTCTCTGTCTTGCTCCTTTCCGCAGGACGCCGACCAAGGAAAAGCCTCAGGCGGTGGCCAGTTTGCGGTCAGGCCTCCCTGAAGACGCTGCACAGCCCCCGCCCTTCCCTACAGTCTATGGCCCCGTCCCTGCCGTGCACCGCCCACCTCAAGTCACTGCTCCTTTGCAGAGCGGACCTATGGTTTTTGAGACTGACCTCTGCTCAGGTACTTAAACAAATATTCTTGTCTTTGCTTTTGTGAGAAAGAAAAGGACAAAAGTAAAAGTTTTTTCTATTAAAATTAAGCAATAACAAAAATGTGATAGTGTTAGGGATCTGTTAAAAATAATCAGTCATTTGATACCTTTTTGAGACTGATATCTCAAGAAGAACCCACCCAAGGCTCTGCAAAACCAGAATTATCAGAGAGAGATTCATCATCTTCTGTGGTCTTGGTCTAACCTTCTGAAAACAAGCCCACATCCAGGACATCCCCCATTCTCGGCAATTCTGCCTAAAGCACAGGCTCACATCAGCACTGGGGCTCCACGTGATTCTTGGCGCCGTGCTCAGCCCGGACTTCAAGGGCAGCCTTGCTTACGTATCCCCCCAATGCTGTGGGGCAGGTGAGGTGCAGAGGGAGAGGCCACCACCCACCCAGTCTCCACCATCTCTGCAGGTATGGGACACGCACCAGCCCTGATGCTCACCAAGGAAGCCCTAAAAGCTCATGATCACCAACCTCAGTTCCACACCCTGAGCCCCACAAGATGCCTGGTCCAAGCGCATGCAAGTCCGTGAGCCATGTGCCGGCGACCTCATGATGTGGTCATACGTGTTTCACCTGATACTTCACATCAGGTAGAGGCAAACCGGTGGTGTCTGCAGTAGCCAGTCAGAAGATGGGCCCCACAGAGCTACGGTCCTCGGGTCTGAGTGCAGTCCCAGCAGCGCTTGGCAGTGTCTGTGCACCACACTGAGCTCATTTCCAAAACAGCACCCTTGTTCACCGTGTAGACTCTCCCAGACGCCATTATTCCATGGGCACAAGGGAGACTGAGTGCACCTGCCTCGAAGGCCTGCAAGGGCTGCAAGGGCTGCAATGGCTGAACGTCAGTCCACGGAAGTGTTCACAGAGGACCTCTCCCCTCCTTCCTAGGAGCCCCGGGGAGATGTGCTTTTGACAATGGGAACACCTAAGTTCTTGAAGTAATTTAAGGGATTTCAGAGATTTTGAAGTAAATAAAAATGTATCTGCATCTTCTAAGACGGCCCTTAGCAGCGGAAGCTGACGCAGTCAATGGAATTGGCAGAATGTAAGGAGTCATGGCCAAGCAGGTCCCAGGCCGGTGCCTCTGGGGCAGACAGTGCCATGGGGGACACGCTGGGGGACGCACCGGGGGACGCGCTGGGTCACGTGCTGCAGCCCAGCCGACTGGGTCCTTGGTGCAAACCTGCCTCCCTTGATCTTCACACGCAGCGACCTTCAGAAGCAGGAGTGCCGGCAGCCTCCAGTCCCCTGCTCTGCTTCGGTCGAGCTCTCTGCCATGGGCTGCTGAAGATGAAGACTCTCCCCACACAGGAGTCATGTTCCACCCACCCTTCAGAGCCTGGGATCCACCAGCACGTCTGAAGTTTCAGCCTTTCTCTTCAGCGCTGAAGTTCTCTTTTATTGTCTGTTTCAAGTTGTTTATTTTGATGGCTGTAAAAACATGCCTTTCATTGATTCGTCTACAATAAAGAAGAAGGAATGTTGAAATACTCTTCATTCAATTTGCTCCAGCTCTAACGAGGCCCGCGACTGGACCCCGGGACCCTCTCCCTCATACAGCTCACTGGAGATGAAGAGTAGAACGTGGTTTGTTACAGAAGCAGGGGGAGGTAGGTTTGGCTAAATCCAGTTCCACACTCACCCACCCCAAGGTGAGAGGACTTTCTCAGGCTACATCTACACAAATCCAGCCAGGTCCAGGTTAACCCATCTCAAAGAGAAGGAGTCTACCAAGACTCACAGACCCCCAGGAAGAGTTAGGGGAAGGGACTCCTCTATCTGTGTGGGCACGGGCCTGCATGTCTAGCCGCATTGTACCTTCTACATTCTACACTCTTCTACTGAACAGACAGGAAGGTGAGGAGCTCTGCGGGCAGCAAGACCAGAACCCAGGACACAGGTCCCCAGGTCTGAGCAGCGACATCCCAAGGACGCTGTGCTGTGAAATGTTCAAGTCCACAAAAAGGCAGCTCAGACCCTTCCATCCACTCCCTGAGGCTGGCCCTCTGCTCTCCTCGTACCTGTTGTGCACTTACCAGGGCACACAGACGGCAGGGGTTGCAAAGACCTCAACATGGGCTACACATACAGGAGTTCTGTCAAATGGAACGGGAGTCAGACGGGAAAAGCTGTAACATGCATTTGTTAAATTGATGAAATATCATGGACATGAAATAAATCAATCACCAGTCCTATATTGTGATGACATGTTCATGGCAGCAAGATGCTAAACACAAGTGAGAATACTAAAGCAAAACAGAGGGGTGCCTCGGTGGCTCAGTGGGTTAAGCGTCTCACTCTTGATTTCAGCTCAGGTCATGATCTCAGGGTTTTGAGATCAAGCCCATGTCGGCCTACTCTCTCAGTGGGGAGTCTGCTTGAGATTCTCTCTCTCTCTCCCTCTGCCCCTTCCCCTGCTCATGCTCACTTTCTCTCTAATAAATGATTTTTAAAAAAGTAAAATAGAAATCAGGAGTCCAGGAGATGCACAGATGCACCCCACACGGCTCAGACACTGG